TTCCTTGGCTTGAAGATGGCGCAAAGCACTGTCTGCAAAGCCCCTTTGATTCTAGAATACTACCACTGATTGTTCCATAGAGAAAATATAGTTCCCTGTAACCCTGCTCTGTGCCAGTTACTCTTGAGATGGATTGTGCAGAACAGGTAAGGAGGAGAGATAGCACGTTTAGCAACTAAAAGAGGATTCAGCAGTGCAAACAGAACATGGAAGATCCCTGAATTTTTGTAACTTACCTCTCATTATAATACTAAAAAGCAACCCCCCAGGTGCAGAGTTACTATGTTAATAAAGTAGAAATAATTTTTTAAAAGGTGAATACTGTGGAATGAATGCATGTGGAAAGGACACTTTTCTTGATATCAGGATTTTATCACATCAGACTTGTAAGGCACCACAGTTGCATCAGTCTAGGTAAAGCTGTTGGGGACAGTCATTATTGAACAGCGCTTTCAAATTCTCATGGTGCTGTTTCTGTCCTAGCCTCTTCCTTCTACTTACCAGCCTGTCTAGCCCTGCCTCCCTGCCCTAATCCCATCCTAGCATGCCTTTTGGTCTGTATTTATTTTTACTTATTTTTATTTTTAGCCAGATTGCACGATCATGGCAATCTATTATGTGAAAAGAAATAAATAAAACAAATTGGGGAAAAAGAAAAACAGACTGCTTGGGAATAGTGAGGGGAAGGGCAGGAGAAGAACAGAATCATGCCTATTCACACTATGTGGCTGCCTCAATATCAAAACTGCTTTGGCAGAATCATATCATATGAACATCAACAATGGAAAAGCAACTTGAGTGGAGGCATTGATGGGTTTTGCCCATCAATGAGAAGGAGTACTTCAGCAAAGGATGGACTACAGACCAGCTACTGTATAGACTCAGCATCATGTGATAAGATACAGGTATAGATGCTAATATACTGATCTAACTTTCAAGCCTCTTGATTAAGCCTTCAGCATGCTTGCATAGAATTAACTGAAGGAGAACTTAACACTGCTTTCACAACCCTAGAAATGAAGATCATTTTTGTCCACAGCTTGTGCAGCCTGCTCTGAATTCTGGAATGAAACTGAGCAAATTTTGTCTGGTTCACTCTTGCTAATAGCTTAAACTGTGGTTGGAGCTGGCTAATAGAGACAGATGAATCCTTTAAAGAGGCAGTAATCTCCAACACTCTGCTATTCTTGGCCAATGTTTACATGCAGTGTTCTTTCCCATTCTGGTAAGAGAACACAAGAGTGTTAGAGTTAAGCAATCAGCAAATGTTTCCAGTACAGCATTTTGGCTTCAAGGGCTTTGGATAAAATCATTGCTGTTGGAATGATCTGCTTGCTTCTTTGCTATTCAAATTTCTGAGTGTCTCTTACAGTCTTTTTTTAGAGAAAAAGAAGCCTAGCTACACAGGAAAGCTGCCTATTTGTTGTTAACTGCCCTCGAGTCAATCTTGACCCATGATAACCCTTTGGGTGAGACATCTCCAAGACCCTCTGTCCTCCACTGCTCTGCTTAATTCCTGCAAACTCATACTCATAACCTCGTTAATAGAGTCCATCCATCTGGCATGTTGCCTTCCTCTCTTCCTACTT